CCGCTGCTTGCTCATACACTGGTGCTATTTGACAATAGATTTCTATTCCATTATTGTGGTTTGACATTCTTTGAAGTGACAAATACCTCCAGCTGACCCCAGACCAAATGAAAAAGGAGCTACTGGCCCTGAAACCTAACAAAGGCAGCCAGATGAAATAAATTTTGAAACTTAAAAAAGAAAATCTGGGGATTATAGATACTACCTGCATATATAATTGTTCTCAGTATATGCTATGTTTCTGTCAGAAACCTGACCATCCTCTTCTTGCTGTTTTAACTCATTTATACCTTCAGTCTCACAGTTTTAACTAATCTATGCCCTCAGCAAAGGTCTTGTAGAAAACTGACTTGTGTTGTTGGAAACAAGAGTGTGAGTTGCCAGGGAGGGGCCAGGGGAGAAATCATGATGATCATTTCATCCCTATTTAAAATTCTTCTTGTGGTTGTTGTTGTACAAGTCTTCAAGTTGACTTCTGACTTAATGGCAGTTTTTCAAAGGTTTGCCGTTGACTTCATCTTAGGCTGAGAAAATGACTTGCCCAAAGTCGCCTACGGTTTTCTTTTGGTTAAGCAGGGAAAATCCTAGTCCTACAATCAAACCATAATACCACACTGACTATAACAATGTAATGTACATATAATAATATATGTAATACAGTGAGCCCTTGGTATCCACTGGTGTTTGATTCCAGAGAATGGCACTGGTGTTTGGTTCCCCTGGATACCAAAATCCATGGTATTCCCCCTGGATACTAAAGTCCCATTAAATACAACGGCATGGTAAAATGATGTCCCTTATATAAATGGCAAAATTAAGGTTTGCTTTTTGGAATTTATATTTTTTTAATATTTTCAGGAATCCATGGCTATGGAGGGCCAACTGTAAGATACATGATACTTTACAAACAGTGAAATAAAATCTATGCATATTCAAGTGCTTCCAGTCTAGAAAATAAGGTGAAAACAAGGCAGAAAACCAAAGTGGGAGCCAGAAATTGGAAGAACTGTAGTTCTATATACTCAAGATTAGGTCTAATCTGCACTGCAGAAATGATGCAGTTTGACACCACTTTAACTGCCATGGCTCAATGATATGGAATCCTGGGATTTATAATTTCTAAAATTTCCATTAGCACTGAACCATGGCAGTTAAAAGTGGTGTCATACTGCATTATTTCTACAGTGCAGATAAGACTTTAGTTATAGTAGAATACTAGATGAAGATGGGCAGCCTGTGATCCTCCAGAAGTTGTTGGACTACAACTCTCAACATCCCTCATTGTTGGGCATTCTGATTAAGATTGATGGGAGCTACAGTTCAAATGTTATCTGAAGAGCCATTGTATAGGGACCAAGATGTTGTGCCAATGTTTTCCCAAAGAAGGTGACTTGCACCAGCTCTCAACCATCAACTAAAGTGCACTTTTTGCTTGGGATATGCTTTATGAAGAAAATTAAATAGTTGTGTGGTTTGCAGTTGTGTTTTTCTGCAAATTCTCTTATCATAGAGAATTAAGTATTGCATTAAATAGGCAACTGCTCCCTAACTGCTGCTACTTTATTAGTATTCAAAATACCAGGTGCCAGCCATGTAAATTGTACCCATTAGCTTTTCAGCTAAGCACAAACTCCACAGGCCTTAGGTTGTTAAAAATGAACTACAGAAAGAGCAAAAGTGAAATCCTACAAGGCTGACTTCTTCGGTTATTAAGGGGGAATGGGCAAGCAAAGGCTATTCCTAGTCTAGAATGTGTGCGCATTGCCTCTTAAAGTATCCAGGCCTGTGCCAAGTGATCAGACATGGGCTGCCTATTTGCTTTCAAGAAGTCCAAAGAAGGGAAAGCAAGAGGAAATGTCTACCTCCTGTAGGGAGTTCAAGGAGAAGGATTTTAAAACAATCCCCTTTTGCTTCAGGGAAATTGAAGGAAACAACTCTTGTGTGGGCTGCCTTTCTTTTCTGTACAACATTTGGCTCATTTAATTGCAAGATGATTCACACATGTGTTGATGCTGATTTCAAGCTGATTCACACATGTGAAGAACACAACAGGACTTGCTGGAAATCCATTTGTACCATGTGTTTGTTTGTTATGTGCCTTCCACTTGTTTCCGACTTATAGCAACCCTAAGAAGAGAGTTGTCATTGCTGCCCTCTCAGGCTGAGAGAGTGTGACTTGCCCAGGGTCAACCAATAGGTTTCTAGGGCTGCACTAGGATTCCAGCTGTGGACTCCAGTGTCCTAGTCCAATGCTCAAATATGGCACTGCCCAAACACAGTATTCAGAGTTGACACCCAGTTGGTTTTGTTAAGTAAAGTGTGGGACAAAATGACTAAATAGCTTCTTTTTGTTGAGGATCAGGGCAGGAGGAGACTTGTTTATTAGTTGTTTTCCTAATAACTGTCCAAGCACTGAGTGCTCCTGCAGGTGACATCCCCCTTCAAGCCTTCCACTGTGCTGCCTCCAGGCTCAGAGGTGGCTTTCCTGAGCAGATCAAGCCTAGGGTTTTTACCAGAGCTTCCAACAATTTCCAGGCTGATGTGGATCAGATCCTGGAGGACTGTCATTAGCCAGCAGGATACAAGAGCTGTATGCAGCCTTCACTGGCGGCCAGACTTTGGCTCCCCAGTGAGGCTGTTCAAAGGTCTAGTTTCCCTCAATTATCTGTAGGACTTCAAAGTGTGAGAGAATACAGCTTCTAAAAATGACATAGCCTTTTTCTACTTAGACACCAGAGAAACCAGATGGTGCTAGTAGATAATAATGGCAAGAACAACAGCACTAAGTTAAGCACTGTATTAATATGATGGACAATATACACAGAAATAACAAATCATGAGAACCAGTGTGGTGACTACAGTGGGATTAAAGCATGGGCTCAAGTGATGCAGGTTCAAGTCCCCATTAAGCCATGAAACATACTGGTTGACCAGTCAATCTCTCTCTCTCTCTCTCTCTCTCTCTCTCTCTCTCTCAGCTTGATCCTACCTCAAGGCATTGTTCTAAGGCTAAAGTGGGCAAAGAAAAGCCACATATGTCATGTTAAGCTCACTGAAAATTTAACTAATAAATATAACTAATAAAAAATGAATAGCACTCAGGAAGGGAAACTTGACCAAATGTGTTTGGCTCCAGCTGCTCTCAAGTGATTCTTAACTTTGTGCTGTGCTAAAGAAACTTTAGTTGTTTGCGGTTGTGTACCTTCAAATTATTTCTGACTTATGGTAACCCTAAGGTGAAACTATCATGGAGTTTTCTTGGCAAGTTTCTTCAGAGAGGGTTTGCCATTACCATCCTCTGATGCTGAGAGACTATGACTTACCCAAGGTGATTCAGCGGCATTGAAACCCTGCTCCCCAGAGTCATAATCCAACCCTCAAACCACTACACCAAACTGACTCTCAAAACAACAGCAATAAAGATAATGAATAAAAATGTATGGAGTTCAGGAAGGGAAACTTGACCAAACATGTTATCTGCTGCTATCAGGTGATTCTTGACTTTGTGCCATGCTACAGAAACACTTTAGTAGTTTCCATCTGTTAGTCTCGAGAAATCTGTTTGCCCTCTCCCTCCAACAAAAACATCACATGAGACAAATAACCAGGTTATCATGAGCTATGTTATTTCTTTCCACCCAAGGAACCTGCACAGTGCCCATCCAAACTCCTGGTCCATCTCATTCAGTGTTGTCTTCTACACTGACTACAGAGCTGGTAACTTTCCATTGGGCAAAATGAGATGCTTACCACAGGCGGTAGATACTTCCCTCCCAGGTGTTCCTCCATATGACCTAATGGAGAGTGGAAACAGACTGCCCAAGCAATTCTTCACAAATAAGGGAAGCAAATTGGGATGTGGAGGCAAGTTCATTATGACAAAGGAGGGATGACCACACACTCCTAGACACACACTGCCTTGTTCGGGGTCACTACTACTATAGAGAAACAGTAGCCATCAGGTATGTGGCATTTACTTTTGTAATAGTCCCTTGTCTTTTAAAATATTTACAATTTTAATTTTTTAAAAAAAATTGTTTTCAGATTGGGAGATACACCCCATACAGTGGGAGCAATTAAAAGGGGTGACCTTTTAACTATTTTCAATTTTTTATTTGCTGTTTCTTCACACCTAACCTCTAAGATTATCTTCAATTTTTACATTTCTTTTTTATAGTCAGTGGTTAAATGTACAACAAAACAGTGTGTTGTAGCCCCCCTCCCCCAATTCCTTTTTTATTCCATGGATTTCTGTCTGCTAGGTGTTAAAATGTCCTGTTGCAATCTCATATCTTCCAAATATATCTCTGTTCTCACTGCAATTCTTTTGGTTTGGGAAGACCAGATCTTTGTCCCTACAGGAAGAGTGTGGGATTGTACCTCTTGACTTGGGGGTCACATTGTTTGTTTCTCTGCCTGAGGTAGCAAAATGTCTCAAGCCAGACATTGGGTGTTTTGGAGGAATGGCTATGACTCTTCAAGGTGTCAGACAAGCCTTTCCCAGTCTTGCCTGGGCATGAGAGGGACTGAATCTGGGAACTGTTAGTACGCAGAGTTGATGTCCCACTACTGACCCTTCATGTTTTTGGTCTTGAGACATAATACACTTTAAGGTAGGTAGGATCACATACTCTTGATCAGGGGTCGGCAATCTACGGCCCGGTGGCTGGATCCGGCCCCCCGAGGCCTTTGGACCGGCCCCAGGTAAGCAAAAGCTGCCTACCCCTGCTCTTGAAGATATATGTCTTACCCCTCTCTGTTTCTTTTCTTTTCTTATCTTTTCTTTCTTTTCTTCTCTAGTGGAGGAGATAAAACAGGGGTAGGCAACCTTTCCCCTTTAAGGGCCGAGGGACTTCAGCTCCCAGAATCCCAGGAGCTATTGGCCAACATGGGACTATTGGCCAACATGGCTGAGGCTTCTGGGAGCTGAAGTCCTTTGGCCCTTAAAGGGGAAAGGTTGCCTACTCCTGAGATAGAAGCACATGTTTTAGTGCAAAACAGTCAGTGTGGTGTAAAGGTTTAAGCATTGGACTATGACTTTGGAGATCAGGGTTCAATTCCCTGCTCAGCCATGAAAACCCACTTGGTGACTGGGTGAGTCACACACTCTCAGCCCCAGAAAACCCTGTGATAGGTTCACCTTAGGGTTGTCATAAGCTGAATATGACTTGTAGGCACACAGCAACAACAACCAATGTGCTCAAGCATGAAGGTTTTTACTTTGCAGAAGTATGAGGACTGCCAGGTGAAATAAGGATCAAGGCATAACAAGCCACACTTGCTGAAATTCCCTCTTCTATACAACCGTTAAAGGTACAGGAGCCCTGTCCCTTATTCCACATGGCCAGCTTGCATAATACTAAACTGAAGTGTCTTGCGATAAGACTACTGCCTCTGTATGTGAATGCCACGCTGGGGGAAAGTGGAATATAAATTAAAATAAATGAATGGTTTTGTTTTGTTTTGTTTCTGGCAGGTTGTGTATGCACAAAGAAAATATTCCTTTATCCTGCTAAAATAAACTTCATTTTTATCATGCTGGTTTTCAGGGACAGTTCATATTTTGTGTGTTTGTTTAGGCATTTACTTATTTGATATATTTTCTGTTCACCTTTTGTTTTAAATAAAACAAAACAAAAACTACACAAAACGTCTGTCTGTTTGCTTTTTGTCAACTGTCAATGGGTCTGAGTTAAAACTTTGCTATGTGGGTTGTGTCCATTAGCATTTCCAAATGACGAGCATCCAGTTCACTGGATGATGATAGACTATGAAAAATGTACTGCTGACTGAGCAATTAGACCATTTTAAAAAGATTTTACTGTTTTGGTTTCTAAATCTTCTTTTATGTCTACAGGTTGGGTACAAATCCATGGCAACTGAATCAGGCCCTGTAGTGAGTTGGCATCTGCCATGCTTGTGGGGGGAGTATATGTGGTGGCTCACAGAAAGTATTCACAAGTCTGAGTGGGCATGTGTAAGTAATCTCAGCTTCAGGAGGGTGTCAAGAAGCATGTGAGCCTCTACATGTAGGCTTTGTTAACCATTAAGCCTTTATGCAAACAGGCAGCGGTAGCCTGACCACTGTGCATTCTTTAGCCTTGTGTCACTGAGAGACTGGGCACACGTCCTCCTGACTAGGTGGCTGCTTATTCTTCCCCCTCCCCTGCTTTACCTTCTAGTACCCAGGAGAACTTTCTAGAACATAGGCTGGTTTGTTGTTGTGTGTCTTCAAGTCATTTCTCACTTATGGCAACCCTAAGGTGAACCTATAACAGGGTTTTCTCAGCAAAGTGTATTCAGAGGGAGTTTATCCTTGCCTTCCTCTGCCAAGGGAAGAGTGTGACTTGCCCAAGGTTTCCCAGTGGATTTCCATGGCCAAGCAAGGATTTGAACCATGTTCTCCAGAGTCGTAGCCCAATGCTCTAAACCACACTGGCTCTATGGGCTGGTCAAACAGCTTATATAAACAGCAGCAGATTCTTGGAGCTTCACATCAAACTGTAGGAGGTGTACATATATAGTTGAGATCACCTGGGGCTTGCCTACATCAACCACGATACTCTGGGAGCACTCTGGAGTATTCTAGCCCCAAAGCTTCTCCCTGTTTCCTAGGCACTGTAGTGACACTGGGCAGCTGTCTAGACATGCATCCCCACTGTGTTGCCTGGCACTGGCTCAAACTGATCCCTCTAAAGTCAGGAATAAGGTACCCAACATTGATTACATGGCTAGGTGCTTTGTTGTGACATCAGAGGTAGCAACTTGCACCAGTGGGGACACATGTAACACAGTGGGGGCATGTTACACAGTGGAGACATGTATGTAGACAGCTGCCCAGTGTCACTGCAGAGGGCTCCATGTTTTCCCGAAAATTCTGGAGGAAAAGGTGAATAATTATTAACTGATTTAAGGCTGATATGATGTGGATTTGGTGCAGAACTGGCTGTACATTGTGAAAACAGTCTGCACACAAATTGGGTATTGGGCCTCGTGTTGTACTGACAGGTCACCATGAGGATGGGAATGGGGGACCAGTTTGATTGGCCCTTGTAGGTGAACCCTTAGTAACTTCCAGGGTGCTCCTGCTCATGACTCATGAAGGGCAGCTATGAAAGCAAGAGGAGATAGGTTACTCTGCAGTCAATAATTCCTGCTTCCATTAGTTATTAAATAAATGTACTCCTGATCAATGGCTTTGCCTCACTGTGATCACCCTCAAATCTGTTTTTGTGTGGCAGCCCTGATCAGGCCTCTATGACTGACAGACAGAGGAGATGGCTCTGTTAGCCAAGCAAGATCAGGGTTCCTTGCTGTCCTTTTCTGCTGATAATGAACCTGGTGAAAGATCTCTTAGGCAAGTATTTAAATGGTTGTAGCCAAGCCACTGGAGAAAGCTAGGGTCTCTTGTCTTCCCTACTGATGTACGCACCAGATGGCTATCTCAGTCCATTCAAAAAAGGACAAATATTGAATGTGGAAGGACAGACTAGGACAGGAATGTAGATTTATTTTGAGTTTCCTTTAAAATGTAATTGCCTCTACTTATTAAAAAAAATCTCCTTTCTGTCATATTGCTGCTTCTGAGAGCTGGAATTTGCATGAGCCTCAGTTGTTGTCATAGAGCCAACATGATCACCACTGAGGCTCATGCTCAACATAACAACTCCCTGATACACACACACTTTACTCCTTGCCAGGAGTGTTAATATAAAAATATTCCCAAACACTCGTTAAGAGGCTGGGACTTTGCTGTTTCCTTGCATGAGAAAAATATATTGGCAGCCCAGAAGGAGTGAATTTCTCTTGCTGTGACATTCCATTCCTGTTGTTCACATCTAGGCCTCCTCTCAATTTCAATTTCAGTGCTGAAATTTTTATCCCTGCAACATGAGTCTGGGATTGGAAGTAAAAAGTGGAAAAGCATGAAGTATTTTTTTTAATTTTTTAGTTTTTAGCAGGGAGTAAAATTATATATATATATAGAACACTGTTGTTTCTTTATACAGTTTTCCAGATGCAACAGTTTATCAATAGCCAATAATCAAAGTACTTTTACTGTCATGAATATATCCAGGTGTATGTCACTCACAATAGTAGACAAGCCT